GCATGTGGCCCACGGGCCATCGTTTGAGGACCCCTGGTTAATGCCTTAACACAGTTAACAAAACACAAGTAAGCATCTTTCAGCCCAGATCCATCTGAGGTAATCAATAATGTTTCTCATTTCACAAATTCTTGTGAATCCAGTTTGTATTTCCGGCAGACCCGTCAGTGTATTGCTGCAAGTTTTTTAATTCCCTTAAGCAACATTTTACTTATTGACAATTTTGTTCAACCATTTCTGCATTCTGTTAACTCACCTTTCTTTGGATGGGTTTTTCTTCACCTGGGTGAGTGAGCGTTCCCAGTGTTGTTAGCACCGATTGAACATTTCCTTTGGTATTCCAATGATTCCTGGAGCCTTGATTCTCACCAGTGCCTTCAGCGCTGCATGGATTTCTTCCATCACTCACATTGGCTCTTCATCGTGTCCTATCTCCTGAAATCACTGGATGCTGACCAATTCATTCTGTTGGGGTACGATGACTCTCTGGACTCCTTACGTCTTTGGGTGCTTCTGGTATCATTCAATATTTTGCCAACACAATCCTTCCATGTTTCAACCAAGACTTGCACTTTTTCTTCAGTTCATTCCCTTTGAGATATAGTGGGTGAGTTATTCCCCTTGGGTTGTCTAACTCCAGGTCTTGGTACATTTCATCATAAAGTGTTACTTTGTCTTCTAGGGCTGTTTGCTGTTCAGTTCTCTCCATCATTTCTTCCAGTCACTTTTTCTTCCAGTTCCATTCAAGAGCAAGTCTCAGAGTTTCCTCTGACATCCACTTTGGTCGTTTGTCGCTTCCCTTTTCAATGACCTTTTTGTTTTATGTCCCATGTTCTTGCTGTCAGCCCAACGTGTGGGGTCTTCAGTCAGTAGTGTTCAATGCATAAAATCTGTTCAAATGGGATATGCTCAAGGTCATTTTTGGTTCTTGTGGACTTTTTAAGTTTCTTCGGCTTCACCTTGAACTTGTGTGTTAGCAATTGATGGTGTCTGCCCACTGTCAATCCCTAGCCTTGTTTTGGTGGATTCTTCCCACAGAGGTAGTCCATTAGATGGCTGTGTGTGGCAGCTAGATTTTATATCCACTTGCACAGGTGTGAAAGTAGGGGTAAAGCCCAACCTATCAGTCAAGTCACAGCCTGACGATGCCTCTGTTGTTTTCTATCATTTGCATCTCAGTGATCCGCGGGTTATCAGACATATTCCCAAAGCACATTTAAGTGCCCAGGAAGCTCTGAACAGGCCCCCTGCTACTTCCAAGAGGAAGAAAACTTCAGCAACCTCTTCGTTTTGTCTTCCAGACCCCAACGGAGAACTCCGTGAACTAGGCAACCCGAATATCACTAGCACCCCGGGCATGGGGGCTTAGCGCTAAGCGATTTCATCTAAAGGGTCTCCTACTGCTCTAGGGAGAATTGTTTCCTCTTCATCCTTGAATATACCATTATGTTCTTCTAAAGAAGTTTTCCCATCCCTGCCTAGCCTCCCCGCTTCGTGTAAACTGCCCCCAAAGACCTTTCCCCAGGACTGAATGGTGCAGTTGCTTATGTCCACCAGCAGAGAGCACTACGGCTGCTCAAAATGAATTTTCATATCCTCTCCACAACACTACCAGGAAGAAAGCATTTAGGGATCATGGTGTATTTAAATTTCTAGAAGCAGTAGAAAAGCAGACTGCCCCTAGAGGAGGTGCAGGTGTTCATTTAGGGTATAAAATCCGAAGTTTTTCAGGCCATGCTGAGAGCTGCCCAGACAGAGCCTGGAAACAGGCCAGTGGGGCTGGTCTCAGTGCTGTTGAACCTTGTTGCTTATCTCCCCACTTGTCATTCCACTGAAGGTCCCCCAATGCCCTCCAATCACCTTATCTCTAGCAGCCTGCCACTCCCAATTGAAACCCTTTTCCCAACTTTTTGGTCGGCCAAAACCTTGTTGACTATCATCACAGGCTTATGTGCTAATAGACACCCCCACCCTCACCTCCAACTTCCTTGCCCCACCCTCAACAAGGTGAGTCCTTGAGGACCCAATGCCTTAGCCTGTCTCCTCTTAGACCTCCCCCGCCACCTTAGCACCAGAGGACCTGATCAACCAGTGTCCGTCAAATCCATTCTGACGCAGGGGGATCCTTAAGGGTTGGCGCAGAACGCAGGGTTTCCCATGACTCTGTTTTTAGAAGCAGAGTGCCAGGCCTTTCCACGTGCCTGTGGGTGGACTCAAATCTTCAAGCTTTTCACTGAAAGTACCCCAGAGTGACCCTATGCACAACACAACGAAATGCAGCAGGGTCCTGCCCAGGGGCTATAGGGGACACCATACTGTTGTCCTGTTTGGTGGAGAAGGAGCCAGGAGATGGGGGAAGAGATGTGACTGAGAAAGAGTCTCTGCATTATCACCACCATATTCCCATCCAGGGCTGGTAGTCAGAAGACCTGGGGGTTAGCTCCAACTCTGCCACTCTCCCTTCCCTACTTCTCAGCAGTCTCATCCCATCCACATCGGAGAGTTGTTTCCATGAGCCCGGGCCTCTCCATGGTGGGACACGGGGATTCTGCAGCTAAGAAAAGCATCCTGGTCACAGGTTTGGGCCTGCTCCTTCCTGCTATCTGCAGAGACCAGAGACAGAGACGAGGAAAGATTCCTCCTACTGTGCGTTCATCTATCTACAGAGGAAATGGCCATTCTCTGGGCTCTGTCCCTGAGCCACTTAAAATCGTGAGGAGTGGTCCCAATGATGCAACCCCACCCCCACCCCCACCACAAGGACTGCATTGTGGCTTGCACTGGAAGGCTAATACGCGCACATACATTTTCTGGTTTTGTGATTGGCTCATTAAGTCTAAATGAGCTATGAAAAGACTCCAGGACTGTTTCTCCCCTTGCCGACTTCACGTTCTAGAGTAATTCAGCAATCATGCTTCATGACTTCAGGTCATAGTAGTAGACTGTGATATCCTCATTAATATTTGCCTTGCTGTCATTTGTCACAAATAACCTAAGGTTATTTATATATACATAGTCTTGGGAGACTTGCAGAAATCTTGTTTTTCGGATACTCCAACTATCCGGACAGAAAAGGGTTCTAAGAAAGCTCCCTTGGTGAACTGAGAATCCTGGGACAAATTTTTCCTCCCGTGCGTCAGTCCCAACCTCAGGGATGAATTCTGCCTGGGGACACCGCCGCCGAGTTCTCCACACAGTGTAGTCTGGTGTTGTGACATGAGTCTCTGGGTCTTCTCAGTTACACAGCCATCTTCCCAGTCCACAAGGACGTTTTCCTCCATCTGGTGCACGTTACCATTTACAGGGGGCGTTCACACACCTGCATCATTCTGACCCTCAGAACGGCAGAGGGAGACCAGTAAGCCAGCCCCGTCTTACAAATGAGAAAGGCAGAGCCAGAGACATTCTCAAAAGCTCAAATCCAAGGCTTCCAAATCCAAATCCAATGATCTCCCCACAATACCAAGCAGCCAGGCATGACCTCCTAATGGGCTAGTTCTTCAGAGAGCTAAGTATGTGTTTTGCCCCATTAAAAAAAGGTGTTTTACTTAGTGTTAAAATAAGTTTTGCAATTGTTTGAATACAGGAAAAATACAGCTATCAATACACTGAAAAGTAAGAGTGGCCTCGCTTCCAAACTCCATTACCGTCGGTCTGAAAGTTTGGCTCAGCCATGTCCATGGGACTCAGGGGGACTAGTAGGAGAGCCTCTTGGAGTAATGGAGTTTCTGACAATGAGCCTTGGGCAGGTGGTTTCATAGGTGTATGTTTTCAGTACATGATGGGACTAACCAAGAATATCTGAGACCCCTGACTGGTACTGACATTTGAGCCTCATTATTCAGGTCTCTTGTTCTGCTTGTAAAAGCCCACAGCCTGACTGATGGGCATTGAAAGCTAAAGCCAAAAAATCAAAGCTTTCATTTTCCTAAAGGATCCAAAATGGATGTCAAAGTTGCTGTAAAATTTTATGGCCGTCATGATGTGATAAGAACCCCAGAAAATGCAAATAGAGCCCTTCAGTCATCGCATGTGATTCATAAAATCTGAGGCTTTATCTTAAGTGATTGTATGCATTTGAATAAGATACCTGAAGCAGAAATTTTTACAGAGCAGAATACTTCCCAGAACTTGGGAGTCTTCTGGGCTCTGTTACTGGGCTGCTTAGAATTGTAAGGAGTTTTCCTGATGATGCCTCCCCCCACCCCCCTCAATCCATGCTTTGTGTTCAGGGATACTGGTAGAAAGAGTTAATACAATCACTGTTAACTGAAAGGCTGGAGGTTCCAGTCCACCCAGAGGTGCCTCATAAGAAAGTCCTGATGATCTACTTCAAATCAAAAATAAAAACAAACAAACAACAGAAAAAAAACCTATATATAGTTGTCATCACCTGGGGTTGACACAATGGCCGCTGGCTTACTGGTTTTACCATCATTATATTCAAAGCCACCCTGATAATGTAGTGGATTGCCTATTGAGCTGCTAAACACAAGGTTGGTAGTTCAACCCCACCAGTTGCTCCATTGGAGAAAGACGAGGCTATCGGCTCCCTTCAAGATTGCAAGTCTAAGGCACCCAAAGGGGCAGTTCTACTCTATCCTATAGCACCGCTATGAATCAAACGGACTCAATGCCAGTGGGTTTAGTGGTCTCAATCCCTAGTCTGATCAAAGGGGGTGCAGGGATAAACTTGGGCAGAAATCACAGAGAGAGAGAGAGAAATCTACACAATCTATGATTAAAAACCAAAGTTCAGAAGCAGCTGGCTTGGGTAGGGAGGGGTGGGCTCCATCAGGATTGGGCTACGAGAGGGAGCCCCTTAGTGACCTGTGGGCTCCCGAGTTGAAAGTAGTTTAATTAGTAACCTGGAAAACAGGTGGCTTGGAAGGCAGGGGGACAAGTCAGGCACTTGGTTCTTTATGACTGCCCCCACCCCAGCTCTGAGGGCAGAGAGTGCCCGTTTCATGGCAACCGCAACCGACAGACTTTCACCCGTTTGTCCTGTGGACTCGCCGAAGACCTTCTGAGCAGGGGGAAGCCAGGGCCTCCGCTACATGCAAAGGAGGTAGGTGCCGTCTCACAGGTAAACCAAGAGGATCTTTCCCACCCTCCCCTGGCTCTCCTTTTAGATGACTTCCCCTTCCCTCCCTCAGGAAGACAGACACCGGATTTCTTCGCCCTTCCCATGCCTTACAGGCACAAGTCTGTAATGAAATCAGACTGCAAAGCCCGGAGATGTTGTGTTAAAGTGAAAATCAGACGCTGAAGGGGAGAAGGAGAAAGTAAAGGAGGTATCGCGATGCCCCTAGAGAACACCCACAGTCAGCCCCAACTTCAAAACCAAGCCTTCTCTGCCCTGTCAAAGGAGCATGTGTACGCTGAGCTGTGGAAAAGCTGATGTGCAAGATGCGCAAAGCAGCGTGTCTTCAGCACACGGTGCTAGGACAACTGGACATCTCTCTGCGAAAAGATGAATGTCATTCCTACCTCACCGTGTACATACAAAAACTAAGCTACACTATAAGACGTCTTTTAGTTTTAGCGTGTAGCCTTCAAGTTAGTTGGCTAGGCTTATAGTTTAGCCTTGGAGTTAGTTGGGTTTGTTGTTGTTGTTATTGTTGTTTTTACTATATGAGCTAAGGCTTTTATAGAAGAAAATAGAAGAGTAAAGCTGATTCTGGGTCCTGAGCAAGCACATTCCATCTTCAGGAATTCCACGATCCTGTCCGTAGGACAAGAGGGCAGGACGCCTCCAGCCCACCCCTGAGGTCCCTTTAACAGGTGGCCCCGGTTATCCATGTTTAAGCACATCCGAAATGACACCCAGAGTCAGCTTCTGAGCGTGACGTGACACAAAGGCCCATGGCTGCCTCTAGGGTCTGAGTCGTTGGCCTTTCAACATAACATCCCTAATCCCCTTTCAACTTTCTGTTATGGACAGCTTTCCCTGAACCCATCGACGTTTTCCACTGAGGCACGTTGAGAATAAGGAGTTTCAGGTGTTGACTCTTCATATGTGAAGGGAACAAGAAGGCCTAAGGAAATCAGTTCATAGCAACATTGAGACGGCTCTTGAAGGGCTAGAACGAGAGCAGGCAGGCTTGGAGGCAGCCGGGGCCGGACCTCCAGGACAGAAGACTCACGGAGATCTTGGTGAAAATGTAGAGAATCAGGGACAGGATGGAGAGGTAGATCTGGATCCGCTTGCCCCCAAACCGCTTCCTCAGGTACTCGGGCATGGTCACCACCTGCATGGGACACAAGAGAGGTCACTTCTAGCCAGACTAACTGGAGGGGCCAGAGTAAGCCGAGCAGTGGTATCTACTCGGTAGTGGTATACACTTGTTTTTGAATGAACACATAATTGGATAGAACCAAGAAAGCACAGATGAGTAGGAAACACTCGTGTGTGTGTGTGTGTGTGTGTGTGTGTGTGTATGTATGTGTGTGTGTGTGTGTTAGAGTAACTACTACAAACAAGACATCCTAACAATGAAATAATTTTTCCAGTGCACCAAACAAGGATATGCACTTCCCCCCATCTCGGTAGACAGGCTGCCTCCAGGACTGAGGTCACAAGACTACCCAGCTGACCTCTTCGTCCCTTTCTGAAAATTCCAACCACACTTCCTGCCTTGCTCCTTCCACTCAAAGCTTGTTGTCTTTGGGATCAGATACGTGTCATCCTCAAGCTGCAACTCTCTCAAAGATGCAGTCAACCCTGTGTGTCTTCTGTGCTGTTTTCGGAACCCAATAGGGTTACACCCACGAGTGCTCATTACATCTCACAGAACTGACGATACTGAAACTTTCCTACATAGAATAGTTCACAGACCTAATCATGCACCCGATCGATGGGGACCAGCTGTGTGCTCAGCAAGCAAGCCGAGCTGGTGTTTATAAATGAAAGGCCAAAGACGGGAACTATATATCAAGGGCAAGTGCATGGAAGTAGCAGGCAATTGCACACCCAGCGTGAAGGCACACGTCTCTTTGGAATCTATTCTGAAGGGAGGGAGCCGACTTAGGACATTCCCAGCGGGAGGGGTCGTGAGCCTGGACTGAATGCAGCCATCAGACCCAAGTTCAGTGCGCCCATGAACGGGCAAGAACTTTACACTCTGGGAGCAAAAGTCAAGCCACCGGCTCTGTGCCAATTTCCTCGCCGTTTTCTCTGCCTTCTAGCAGGATCCAAGTTCAAGTATCACAGTCGATTTCACAGCAGTAAATAGAATAAGGTAGCAGATACTTACCCCAGCCTTAATGTAAATGGGGACAAACACCCAGCCCAGTACAACTACCAGAACCAGTGCCTGAAACCAGAAGAGAGGTGGAGTCAGATTAGGAGGAGCCTGCACCCGTCCCTGTTGTCTTGTGGTTCTCCTTACCCCATCCCCCCACCTCTAGCACACACACGCTCCGTTGCTCACAAGAGACTCTCACCATTTCTTTTCAGGGGACTTCAAGGACAACTCTCTAAGTGCCTTCCAAAACTGGAGAAGGCCTTAGCTATTTGTGGTCAGAAGATGACAGTGGAGGGAACTCCAGAAGGCTGTCCACTGCCAAGTGTGGCTCTGGACCATAGGGAAAACGGAGTTTTCCTTCTCTTCCCTGGCCTATCCCCTCTCAGCCTTTTAGTCGTGACAATAACGGGGGTGTTATTGTTGTCCGGTGCCATCAAGCCCGTCTGACTCAGGGCAGCACTACAGGGTGAAGTAGAACTGCCTCAGGGTTCCCGAAGCCGGATACTCTTTCCGGGAGCGGATCACCTGGCCTTTCCTCCTGAGAAGCTGCTTGTGGGTGCAGACCACAGACCTTTGGGTTCACAGCGGAACGCTGAGCTTTTGGCACCACCCGGACTCCTTAGAAATGGTGGTCAGCACTTCAGTCTCCAAACACCTGAAGGGTCGTTAAAGACTGGGCTTTTGAACACCAGTGAGAGAAGAAAGACGTCTCCGATTCGCCTTTGCTTACCTACATGGGTGTTATTTTGGTGAGACAGAAGCAGGCCTGGGGGCTCCCAAGACCTTAGCATACCTCCCTATGGACTCTGAAGTGGCCCCCAAGGGTGCCCTTATTCCCAAGAGCGCATCAGCGTCCAGGTTGAGCCCAGTGACGACTACGTCTCTTTTCAGCCCCTGGACACAGTGGCTCTGATGTTACTCACGTTCCATTCGAAGCCCCCAGTGGCGATGCCTGCAGCTGCTCCTGTCCCCGCCAGTCCCACAAAGTGGCCACTTCCGATGTTACTCGCGAAGAGAGATGCTCCGATCTGGAAACACCAAGAGCGAGTCAGGTGAGAACTCTGTGCTTGACCCGGGGGCACAAGGTGGACCAGAGAGAAAGGAGGAATGACTGGGAACTTGACCCCGCTGGAGGCTGTCCAAGTCACTGGTTCAGGGGGCGGAGGTGGGACCTGCGAGGGGCAGTGGAATTCATGATGGAATCTGATCATCCGTGCACCCGCTGTGCACCCAGCCCAATGGCAAGTGGTGAAAACCCAGACAACATAGGAAACCCACATGCCTCCTCTGGGAAATGTCCACGAGGATTCAGGAAAGGCTATGCCATCCAGCCGCAGCTCCTCCCGTGCACTTGGTTTAGGGCCTGGCTCAGGACAAGGCTCTCAGGAAAACGTGCACGATTCTGTTGAAAAAGCATCCTTTAAAAGGAAACCCCGGGGCTTCTGTTAAGAGTGATGGGGGAAATGTGGAAAGGGTGTTGGTCGAAAACCACAATTAGTGTAGCTAATATAAATCGTACATGTGAAAAAGGAAGAAAAGACAAATAACCGTTACACATGTATTTACCACAATAAATAAAATACATTGTTTTTAAAGGAAGCCCCTTGTCAAATGAAGAGGAGTGGTGAAACAGCATTGATGGCGCCTGGCTGTCAGAGTACCACCAGGTCACAGGAGACTGTGTTAATCATCCCCACGGTAGGGTTTTAAGCAGAGGAAGGACATGGCCTAATGGGCTTTCAAAGATCCCTCGAAAGTGTGTGGAGAGTGTCATGTTGTGGAACAGAGGAGAACACAGAGCTACCAGGTGGGAGGCGATTGCTGGAATTCTAGGACAGAGATGACAGCCCCGTGGGCTGAGGAGGGAGGAGTGGAGGCAGAAACGAATGTAGGGCTGGGGTGATGTCTTGGAAATAAAGTCGGCAAGCTTTACTGATAGATCAATGTGATTCATTGCCTTCTAGTTGGCCCTTGACCCATGGCTACCTCACACACAAAAGAACAACATGATACCTGGGCCCGCCCCACCCCCATGATTGGTGAAGAATTGAACCATTGACATCCATAGGGATTTTGTCGGCTGATTTTCGAAGTAGATCACTACACCATTCTTCCTAGCACCGGCGACCCCTGTTTACCATCACAGATGCACTAGCTGGACATCGAACCCACATCGCCCACATAGAAGTGGAGAATTTTACCACCAAACTGCCACTGGCCCCCAATAAGAGAAAGAGGAGTCCAGAAGACATTCATACATGTGGAACTTGAGTAACTAACTGGATGGACATCATTCATTAAGATGATGCTGGTGAAAACAGGACTAGAAATGTCCACTTCTTTTTCTTCAAAGCTTGAGGGAGATAAACGCCTTTTTTCTTTTTAATTAATGTATGATCATTTTATATATATATATATAATGTTTGCTCTGTTAACTATAAGCAGCCTTTTGCATGTGGCCTACGTATCCTGACATGTATCTTTTCATCTCTCATTTGTTAAATTATTAAACCTAATGTTTTACTATTAGCGGTTTAATTACCAGTAATGATTAACTGCATTCAATCCATTTTAAATTCAAAAGGTGCTCCCCTCCATGCACTCAAATGGGAATACAGGACTTAAAGTAGGTTTAGGATTAACATGTGCAAAAAGGATGGGCTAGGGGGGAGGAGCGCTTTGGGAAGAGCAGACTGTCCTGGGAGCAGCCTCATTCATTTCTGTATGGAGTACCACTGTTCTTCCAGCTACTTTAGCTTCATCCTAGACTTCTTCCATCCTCTCTAGGGCGTGCACTCAGTAATTTACCAAGACCCTGATTCTGCCTCCGCAATGTCCTAGACATCCAGGGCTCTAGAGTCCCCTTGTCGTTATCTCCACCAGAACTATGGGAATCGCTTCTAATTGATCTACTGCCTCTTCCTCCTAAAAATCATCCTACACCCACATGCCCGGTGAATTCCGAATGGACAGCCCAAATCACGTCCTTTCGCTACTCAGAGATCCACCGAGACCCCGAAATGGGGCCTGTCAAGTGATGCTCCGAATAGCTTCAGGCTTAAAGACTTCAGAATTCAGCAAAAATTCAAAGTAAAGTCCCCATCCAATGAGAAGACAACATAGGCTTAAGGGTTAGAGTTTGGATGACTTTGTCACCTCAATTTACTCCCTTAGCAGTCATAAAACCTTTGAGTCTGGGTTTGCTCTCATGATAAAGTTATGAGATTATTAATCAACAATGACTGACACTCAGCTCGCCCTTAATCAGTATCCTTTATTTCCTCTCTCCTCCCGAAACAGCACCTATACACCTTCAAAAAACACTGCACAAGGTCAGCCTCGCCCTCAGACAGAGGGCACTGGAAAGTGGAGCACTGCAAGTAGAGCTACGTAGAATGTTAACATATTCTCATTTATTTTCCCTTTTGACCCACCCATGTTTATTGTGCACTAGCTTCCATTCTTTTCTGCTTTCATTTGGATTGGGTTTTCTCTTTTTCACTTGGTTGTCGTCGTTGAAGTGTTTGCATGATTTTACTTTTTAAAAAATCGTTTTACTGGCATGTACGTCACATACCATTCAATTTAATCGTTCAAGCACATCAAGTAGATTTGTACAGCATCACCACAACCAACTTCAGAACATTTTCTTCTCACACACATTGTTAGTTCTCTGTTTTCCCCACCCTCCCCTGCCATGGCCCCATTCACTGACTCTCTGTGGATCTACCTATCCTGGATTTCTCTTCTTTCTTTTTTAAAAATCATTTTATTGGGGGCTCGTACAACTCTTATCACAATCCATACATACATACATTGTGTCAAGCACATTTGTACATTTGTTGCCATCATCATTCTCCAAACATTTTTTTCCCTACTTGGGGCCCTTGGTATCAGCTCCTCATTTTCCCCTCCCTCCTCACCCCCCTCCCTCACCAACCCTTGATAATTTGTAAAGTATTATTATTTTGTCATGTCTTACACTGTCCGACGTCTCCCTTCACTCTTACACAGAAACTCATACAATACAAAACACATGCATACAAAATCAGACAGACGAACAAACAGACAAACAAAACCAACAACAGCGACTAAACAGAAAAACCTCAAAGAGAAGGCAGAAAATATTAAAAACTGAAACAGTTTAAAATGGGTCAAAGGGACATCAAATGATAAAGTAATACATTTTAACCTACCTGCATCTGCTATAATCAACTTAACACTGCTCCCTGTCTGGTACCAAGGCTATTCACATCCTTCGACTATGGTTAGAATGGATTCACTAGGGATTTATCCATGTGGGAACTCTGTGAATCGATTTTGGGCTTCTACTGTCATCCATAGTCTTCTGCAAATTGAGCATTCATACATTCATAACTGAAGCTCGGATACCATTCCCTCCTTCAGAAATGGATTTCATTATTGACAATCCTCGGATCACACAGGCTGGTGTGCTTCTTCGGTGTGAACTTAGTTTATGCCTCACGTACACGGCTGCTTATTTGAAGACAAGCCTTTAATCTTTCTGATAGCTAAACACTATCTGTTTTGTTCACCACACTTTGCTATAGCACCTTTATCTTCAGTGATCTCTTCATGAGGGCGAGTATTGAGTAAGGCCATGTCATAAAATTGGGGATAGAATTAAGTTCAAGCCTATAGTATATGATTTTCTTTGTATGAAATCCAGGATAGGGACATCTATAGAGACAGTAACTAGATTAATATTTTCTTAGGGTTATGTCAGGGGAGGTTGGGGAGTAATGAGGAGGTAGTAATAATAGGTATAAGGATAAAGAAAATATTATAAAGTTGATTGAGGAAAAGATTTCACAACTTTTTTTAATCTATTTAAACTGTTGAACTGTAAGGTACATGAATTATAAGTCAAGAAAACAATTTTAATAACAATAAATAATAAATAATTCACAAAGACTCCATTGGCCACCTTTTCTTTATTGCCCACATCCACCTACCAGGTTTTCCCACTGCTCCTCCCTGCTCAGAATCCCATTAACAATGCTTCCATGACTCTGATTTCCCAAATACTCTCTCTTCACTCCACCCTCATGCTTATGCCCATTGGGGAGCCATGCTTCCTCTAGGGAGTGATCCAATGACATGAACCAACTTGTCCTCTGTAATTTTCTCCCACATTCATTCTACATTCAGGACTTCAGGCTTCTCCTAAAACTGCCCCAGATTGACCTTGCTCTGACTAACTTCTTGCTAAGCCTTCCTCATCTTCTAATGGGGCTCAAGAGGCTGTTATAAGTACTTAGATATTTTTGCTGCCACTGGGTAAATTCTAGGCTCTAGAAATTCCACTGAGTAAACACTGGGTTCTAGAAATGAGCTCTCTATAACAATACTATTCATCAAGTCCTATGGGCCAGGAATCCCATCGTCACATTAAAAAACAGAAACAAAAAACCCTCACTGCCATTGAGTTGATTCAGACTCATAGCCCCCCTATAGGATAGCGTACAACTGCCTCTGTGGATTTATGAGACTGTAACTCTTTACAGGAAGAGAAAGCCCGTCTTTCTTGCTCGGACTGGTGCTTTTGAACTGCTGACCTTGAGGTCTGAAGCTCAACTTATAACCCACTAGCCACCAAAGTGTTGAACCCTGGACTCTGCCCATGGCTGTCCAACCCTTACCTGACATTCCCACCAGGGTTGCTAAAGTCTTTAATGAAAGGTGATAATTCTGGAACTGTCTCCAATTCTTTCAAAAAGGTTAGGAGATGAGAACCAAGCAGGTGGGTAAATTAGGTCCCGGCTGCAGAAAAGCCATGAAGAGGTGGCGGAACGTAAGTTGAGTGCGACAGGAGCTGGAAAGCAGATCATCTGAGGTTAGCTACAGAATGACGTTGGAAATGATTATGTCCATTTTGTCATTTTCAGATGGAAAAGGAAAAAAGTACAACCTGGGGGGTGGGGGGGAGTTATTCAATTGACACACTCATTTTATCTGGATGTTATCCACACCCTAAGAGAAGTATCGCAGCATAGGCATACCAGGC